TTCAACCGGAACGCCTGATCGAAAAGGGACCTGGGGGCTCCGGTCAGCACCACTGACTGGGCCATTAAAAATCCAGTTGGCAGGGCTGGCACGTTCCCTACCCAGCTCCACGCGGCTCTTGGAAGCGGCAGCATGTTCCCCTCATTCCTAGGCACAGGCACAGCCAAAGAGGCTCCATGTGCTGCCACCTGACCTGACAGCCAGCTCCGCAGCTCCCATTGGCCAGGAACTGTGGACAATGGGAACGTCTGGGGTGGCACTTGCAGCTGGGGGCAGCGAGCGGAGCCATCTGGCCATCCTAGGTAGCCACTTCCAAGAGCCGCCTGAGGTAAGTTCTGCCCTGAGCCCACACTTGCTCCCACACCCCAACACCCTGTCCCAGCCCTGAGCCCCCTCTTGCGCCCTGAACCCCTCATTTCTAGCCTCACTCCGGAGCCCTCACCCCCAGCCCAGATCCTATACCCCCTCCCACATTCCAACCCCCTGGCCCAGTCCAGAGCCCCCTCCCACACTTCAAACCCCTCAGCTCCACCCCTCAGGCCAGAGCCCCATCCTGCACCCCAAATTCCTCATCTCCACCGCACCCCAGAGCCCGCACCTCCAGCCGGAGCCTGCACCCCAACCCCCTGCCCCAGCCTGTTGAAAATGAGCGAATGATCGAGGGTGGGGGGAGAGTGAGCGACGGAGGGAGGGCGTGGGACCTCTGAGAAGGGGCGGGGCAGGGACGTGGACTCAGGGCCGGGGGCGGGGCAAGAGTGTTCGGTTTTCTGCAAATAGAAAGTTGGCAACGCTAGGGACAGTACATGATTGTGTTTTCGTTATCTGGGCTACATATGTATTGGGCCAATTCTTTTTGCTGCTTCCTCTTCAGTGCTTGCTTCTGGCCCACTGGATGGCTAATGTCTTTTGCCCTATTATCCTTCTGTTTCTGCTGCTCCTCAAGGGCAGAATAACCAGTGGAATGGTTGAAAGACTCCCCTGAGACTTGCTCTCTCTTCCTATTGTTCCTCATAGTTGCCACAATGTAAAATTTTCTTTTTGCTCTTCAGTATCCCAACTGAGGACTCTGTCTGGTGTTTCCTTCTCTTTGTGCTATCTTCCTTTTGGTTTCCTCTGTTTATTCAAATGCCTACAACTGCTGTTCAAGTCCATCTTGTCCTTCACTTATATACAGATTTGGTCCTACAGGCCTTCATCTAGAAAAAGGAATGTAGCACAGCTTCCACCACAAGGGGTTACTTTGATTCTGTATCCATTCTTTATCTCAGTAATGTTATTTCTTCAAAGAAGTTACTTCACATGTTTGGGACTTAACAGCGGTCAGATGTTCCAGCCTCTCTCACTCAGAGCCCTATCGAGAAGTTCCCCTGTTTGCTGTTGACAGAATTTGTGGAGTTACAGCCTGGTTTACCTATGTCAGCTCTGACCCTTTATTATCAACAATACGTATGGGCCTCTAGTTGCTTATCCAGCCCCACCAAACCTTGTCTAAACTAGGGGAGTTTTCTAAATATTTCCCACCACTACTAACACTAGTTCAGCTCTATTTGTGTTAGCAACATTGGCAGCTGTAGCACAGACAGGTTGCCAGCCACTGTTGCTGTCATAAGCACCACATTGATTAGATATACTCTGAGCAGAGTTAGATGACATGGTGGTTAAAACTCCAGTTAACAGTCTCCACAAGCACTTCCAACATTGTTACCACTGTGGAAATGAACTGGTGTTAGCAGCAGTGCGAAATTTCTAGAACATTTCACAAGTGTAGACCAAGCCTTTCAACCAAATTGCTTCACAGCCCCAGAAACAGTTCTTGAATCTTTGAAAACACAATGCCATAGAAATCTTCAATAGAAAAGTGGAGTAGGGGAATGGAAACAATTCACCCCACATTAAAACCTTTCTCCTGAGTCTATGTTTCTAATTATTTGGAGAGTCTACCTTTCTCTGTGTCTGAATTTAGAAAGAAAACGTGCTATTTTTAGTGAATCTGTACTCCCGCTACTTGTGACTGGGTTCCGAGTCCCTAAGGTCACAACACGTTCAATGTCATTCTGCACAATCAAGGTTCTACTGGGGCCGCAGGCTAATCAGTGTGGCTTAGTGTCTCATTACCATCTCTTCACTATGCACAACATATTGTCCCTGCACAAAGACGCTGAGAGTCTGTTAAATATTTATTTATAGTAACAAGGGCCAAAACCAGTTAATACAGATTTTAAAATATTCAGCTGAAAGTAAGACAAAGTCATGGTCACAGAGCAGGCTGACACTTCCACATGAAGACTGTGTTAAGCAATAAACTAAATTACTAGTAAATTAAGTTTGCCCTTTTCAATTGTCAAACTAATAAAGAGCCACAAGGCAGACATATGTAAACCACCCCCTCAAAATTCATTACTATTCACAAATCTTGAACTGTGCTGAAAGCAAACAAATTACAGGGCGGAAAAAGCACTTAAAAGGCATTTTAAAGCTTTGTATGTATGTTATGTAGTTAAAGGCTATTTGGACAATATGGTTTTTCTTCTATTCTTGAAGAGCTCAATTTTGCATACACAGTGCTTATATACTTCCTGCTATCATTCCCTAATAAAGCCCAAGTTATTTCTGTAAAGATATTAATCTCAGCACCAAAACTGAGAAAGGACAATCAATTTACAGCCATACAATCTAGTTAACTCAATTTCAGCTTTGCTTTCATAAGCCTTCATAGACCACAGGCTCATTGCTTGGCCATCAAAATTTTATTTGGAGCAGTTTGGCTGTGTGTCAATTATTTGCATATAAGCAGGTAAGAATAAAATAAACATTTTCAAATATATATTTGCTCATGAAGGAGGAGTCATTATGATATTTGGGATAAATAAGTCTGTAAAAATTTGACTTCCTTTCTGTTTTTTCTGCCAACATCAAATTGTGTATTAGAATGGATTAAATGTAAGTGCTATGCATGTCTATAGCCCAGGTAAATAGTTAATGTAAAATGTCACTCTTAAAAACATACTCATTTAACTTCGATAAATGGCTATGGTTACCTCCATACTTGCAGCAGACTAAGCTTAAACTTTCCTGTATCTATCTTGTAGGGAAGACCTAGAATATTGCAAAGACTGAGGTAAAGCTATGTAGTTATCTAACGCAATTGACAAGTGTTTTAAAGAGTGATCATTCCAACAATAAATAATGGTAAAAATTTGACCAAATGTGAGAAAAGCCAGCAAATACATAATCAGGGATGCCTTCTGGGCAAAATTCTCCTCTCTCATCTGTCCAGGCAATCCACTCAGGAAAGCAGAGTATAAGAGTCAAGTTTAATGAGGCTCTCATAGAAGAATTTAGCCTGTCTCCTTATTGTATGCAGCTGTTCTATTTTTGCATGGTTGGGTATATTGGGGATGAACAGAACTACTCTCCCATCAGTGTGCACATGTAAACCACACAGACCCAGCTCTGCTCTTCCATTAATATGATCAATTAACTCGCATTGTGATCCATTCTGTAGTTCCTTTCTGCTCAGAGCTCTCTTTGAAGTCAATGGGGCTTCCCCATGGAGCAGCTATAGAACGGTGACAATTAATGATAATGGGACTTACTCATGTGGGGAGACTTAATGTCAGCATTAAGTTTTCAAGTTGGTGGAAGGAAGTTAAGGTCAGGAATAAGTTCCACATCCAAGTATGTGATTTGACTGGTGAATTTGGATTATTTTCTATGGGAAGAAGTCAGGAGTTCTGAGAGGAGCATACATTTTGATTGTCTGCAGTTCATTTGTGTAATTTTTAAAGTTGACAGGGGTTTTGCCCAGTTCCAGCCTATACATATGTACATATATCAGTGCCTTCTATTCCAAAGTTGCTCGGCTGATATCAAAGAGGCCTAGATGAGCTCTGATTTTCATTGCTGGCAATTCCAGTGCTAGGCTGAACAACAGAGGGCAGTGTTCTGAAATGCTCAGTAAAATAAAATATACTGACAGCTGTAGTACATAAAACAATAGTAGGAGCTGTGTGAAAGCTTCCTCTTCTTTTACCTCTAACACAGATGGAAAAAAGACCAAAATAGAGCTGGTTGGAATGTCTTCATCAAAAAGTATTTTCAGAGAAAACTGGCTTTTCATTGCAAATGAGTATATTCACAAAAATATATTTTGATAATATATTCCATGTGTTCATCTATTTATTCATTTACTTAGGAAAACCTGGAGACCAAAATGTTTTTGGTTAAAATATTTTATTTCTGTTCTTTTTTTAAATTTGGTATTTAAAAAAATCAGTTTTTGAAACCACTTTGATTTCCAAACACCAAAAAATTTGTTTCGGTTTCCATGTCAGTTTTTAGCCTAAAAAGCTATACATTTTCATGAGTGATTTTGACAAAAACAGGAAGAAAAGTCCACAAAAAGGTATTTTTTCATCCAGCGTTAGCCAGAAGATTTAAGTTTGTGTAAATGTACATTTTATGAATTTCAAGTGTTTTTGCTGTATATTTCATATGCCCTCTTGCAATGTTTTTAAAACATTGAGACCTGACCACAAATATGCCTAGGAAAACAAAAGTGCCTAACTATGTTTAATGCAGTGTTGTTGTAACTGTGTTGGTCCCAGGATATTAGAAAGACAAGGTGGGTGAGGTAATATCTTTTATTAGACCCACTTCTGTTGGTGAGAGAGACAAGCTTTTGAGCTCACACAGAACTCTTCCAATAAAGATATTACCTCACCCACCTTGTCTCTCTAACTATGTTTAAAACATTTCTTCAGCATATACCATTGTAAACATGAGAATCACTGTCAATTATTTTTTCTAAATAGATTCATAATTATTTTTTTTAAAAGCTCGTGGTTATTGACATTATAAAAATGTGAATTAAAAACTAGTAATAATCCTGGCAAGAAAAACCTAATACTTTTAAACTTTTGATGACTTTTATGTTTTTAATACTTTGTCAAATCATTGTTTTAATATTTTGTACCTTTATTCTTTTGTTACTATCTCAGGAGCTCGTTGGAAACAAGAAGCAGCATCTCAACTGATCCACTAAGGTACTGTTAATTAATATATAGGTTAAATATAGAACACAAATAGCAAGCTCAGCATCTGTTCTATTTCAAAACACTAAGCGCACAGCATACAATCTTAATTTCTAATACAAAGTTGGGAAAGGAATGATTTGATTATTTACCAAACCTCACATGTAGTATCAGAGAACATAAAGGATAGTTTCCCCCTCCCTACAAACATGAGGTACTTGAAAGCTTCCAACATTAAACATTGTGCATTCTTACACACATTGTTTGTGTCCATGCATGCATGCACATGTGTCTGTGTGTGCACATATGAAAAAAAACACACTAATGCCTGTAAAACCCCATCCTATGTTGAAGGGAGGTTTGGCCTTTTGTGCTGGTTATATACCACTTTTTAATGAGTGGTGCTGATGGTTGCATCTGGATTCCTGTGGTTTCCCCCTTGCTCAGCATTCCACGAAGACCACATCAGAAGGTGCTTTCATATAAATCTTTGCAGTACCTTCCATTTTACTTTGATCACTGTATTTAATCTGGAAACAATGTTGGCACCATTAATGTTCGATATTAAAGGGGCACTGGTGCTCCCTGGTCATACAGTTACACGCTAAAGGATGCATCAAAAAAAGAAGCACGCTTCATTTGGTTAATCTGGGGCAGAATCACTTTCTCTTAAAAGAAAAAGCTGGTGATTGTTTTCAAGAAAGCCTGCCTTTTGGGTTGGTCTGCGAGAGGACATGTGTTTTGCTGTGCCTAACCTGATTTGAACCAGAAAGTAATTGAAAGCTGTCCATTCTGTTTGAAATAACTCAAACTAAAGGGCCCCATGGCTATTTAAGCTCCTGTTGTTTTCAAAGCATGTGAATTATTGTAAGTAAAGTGATCGAATGAGTCAGGGTTCCTAAAAAATACAGTAAAATCTTTCTAAAACATCACTGTCCCCTCACTCTCCTCATTGCTGGCATAAGAGCACTGGGTGATACTCAGCCCTAACTCCAGTGCCATTCAAATAATCATGGATTGGCTTGCACACAGTTTCTCAGTCTGTATCATCACTCAGATACAGTTTCTGGTTTTGCCTTTTCCCTATTGCTCTGCAACCTCATTTTATCTCAGGGCATCATGTGGCTGGTGTGTGATGTGGCATTCACTGGGAGCGAGTTACCAGAAACAATCATTGCAGCAGGCATTGTTCTGGATTAAGTAAATCTTTGTGCAAGGGGCAGGTTTAATGCAATAATTTGTGTCTTTTGGGATTACTTCCCCTGGGCAGATGACAACAAGGAGAATTTAGGGAGTAGTAAATGAAGGAAGAAAGGGAGAAAAAAATCTAACAGCTGAAAAAGGAATGAGGAATTCTTTATGAACAGTGTCAATAACACTCTTAATAAAATATCTGTCCTTTAGTTTGGGGTCCATTTAGAAATGCACAGGGGAGACAAATAAATTGACATTTTTATATAATTGTTTTATAAAACTGTTTCCCCAAATCCTTTTTTAAAACTAGACCTCATGATTAATATTCAGTATGTCCATTATCTTTACCCAGTGGGAGTATGAAAGATAGTAAGTTCATATTACGTGAATCAAATAATAAGCACTGCTAACATATTATTCTTTTTGCATTGTTTTTCTTGACTTACACTTTCAATTCCCAGTGTTATTTTGTTGAACCTGCTAACAGAGAGATGCTGTCTGGTGTGCATTCCCTGATTTACGTCCTTGTATTTCCAGTCAATAGTCTTATAACAACTGGCACTATTATAGTATCTTTATCACCAGGTACTATAAAAAGGCAACAGTTATGATTGGAGATCTTAGGGCTTTTCCCTTTTCTGCTCGTCTCCCTTTACCCAAACTCTGTATAAAGCCACTCACTGAACTATTGTAAACAGATTTTCATGAGAATATTTGTCTTATTGTCTCAAAACTGTCAGTGATTCCAGGTATGCTTTGCAAAGAACATGTATGCAGATGGAGAGTTATACAAAACCTTACAAATTAAGACCAAGGCCAGGTTTTGATCTCACAAAACCAAACCAAGGTCACTAAGGTTTTGCAATCCTCCCCTCTCCTCTGCCTCCAAAACAAAATTTGGCAGCACATAGGGCATGGTGAATGATGGATATATCCACATCTTTCCAGTAAATGTACCCCTCCATTTCATGGTGTAAGTGAGGGGAAACAAATGGAGATAGTGCACTGTTTTCTTGTATGTTTTTTTTTTCAAAGCTAAGGCAAGGGTACATAATTTTTTCAAGATGACAATGTGTTTTTTTTTAATTGCTGCTTTTGAACTACTAGTAAATGCAGTTCCAGAGCTCCAAGTGAACAAAGCAATCAGGAAAAGATATGTTAGTTTCACATCTAATAGGAGTTTCTCTAAGGTAGCTATTTTATATAAGGGCTAAATGATACTGGAGAAATAACTTGCAAAATCTAGTGTATATTAATAAGGTCAGGGCCTGATTAAGGAGTGCTAATACAATAATCCATGAGGCTGATTCTTAAAGCTCTTTGGTCACAAAATGGGATGAAGCAAAAGAAAGATTTCTGTTATTGAACATGGTGTGGACAACATCTCATCAGTTTGCTCAAACAAATCTACCACTGGTAGACCATAAAATAAGGTACATGCAGTGGTGCAAGTGAGCCGGTATGGACAGGTGCGCTGTACCATTAAGACATTTAGTGCCGGTACACCATACCAGACACATTTTCAAGAATGAATTGTAGAAACCTGCGTGGATACAAATTTATACCTGCATATATCTGCGGATAGAAATTGATATCCGCTGAACCGCAGGGCTCTCCTGGGAACCGCAGCGGTGAAAGGAGCAGAACGTGGGGCTGCCGCTCCCAGAAGCCAGCACCCCATGCTGGCAGCTTCTCTGGCACAGCTGTACTGCCCCCAGCCCCGCCCCCAACCCTGTCCTCCAGTGGGGCTGTACAGACCCCAGACAGGAGATGCAGCTGCGTTGAAGGGCTGGGGGCAGGGCTAGGCGTGATACAGCCACAACAGAGGAGCTGCCAGCGTGGGGCACTGGCTCCTGCGAGTGGCGGCCCCACATGCTGCTCCTTTCACCGCTGCAGTTCCCGGGAGAGCCCTGCAGTTCGGTGGATACCGATTTCTATCTGGGATATCCGCATTCACGGGTATAAATTTGTATCCGTGCAGGGCTCTAGTCACGGAACATATTTTGTAAGGAGGGGCAGGGGGTCGGTACCATACTGGTAAGAGTTAAAATCTACTTGCACCACTTGGTACATGATTTCTTTTAACTCACTGAATTTCCCAACAGACACACAATATTCTTCCAGGGATGCTGTGCTGTCTGCATGTCCATGTGCTATACCTTCCTGGTGTCTTTTGTCCCACCACTAACATAACAGATCTGCCTTCCAAGAAGATGTGACTAGCTCTGCATGCCAGGCATCATGCATTTGTGAGAACATCTAGTACCATTTCCATTTTGTATGTATCTGGTATAGAACACCAGGGGGCAGGGGCTGAGCTCAGTTGCACCAGAATATCCTAGATCCAGACTCTTCATTTGATTAGGTTTTTTGTTTTAGTCTTATACAAATTCCATACCAAAGGGCGTCCTGTGACTACATTGGATTAACTCCTTTGACTACATTAGTCTAGATTTACATGACAGTACCTGAGATTAGATTTGGGTCCATAATAATTAAAATATCACTACTACCACTATAATTCTGCTCACGTTCGTTATGAAGGGGCCTTCATGCAAGTTGTTATGCTGTCTCGCAGTAAGTATTATATTTTGCATAAGTTGTCCTCTGCTATATATTGCATCAGAACAACTGACCTATGCACCCAGACATTTTGAAGCGGGCCCTGCCGTCTTCCACCCAGTATCTGATGTGGTATAGTTTCCTAATAACTGAGTCTTAGCATTAGACCCTGAACTTATTGATCAGTTCAGACCCTGAATTCTGGTCTTACCCAGAAATAATGCCAAACTTTCCAAAATTAAAGCATTCAAGCCTTGATTTTGTGACTGACCTCAGGGTTTCCTTTTATCATAAGCAATCTGCCAGTGGTTTGTAGTTTAAAGAATAGGGGTACAGAGAAGATATTCAGGAGCAAAATGATGAATGAATGGATTTCCTGCTGTTTCAGCTCAGAATGATTTGATGCCTCAGAGCCCTAATAAATGAAGATGAAGGATAATGTCAACCTAAATTATGTGTCTGTGGGATCACATAACCCTACGTCAGAATTGTTTAAAACAAAAGAAATCTGTTTTGGGGTATTAGAGCATTCCAAGAGTCAATGTACTGTTGAAATGCTGAACACAAAGGAAAATTTGAGGTTTCTTCATTAATCTATACGTTTGTCTATGGTGCACATCACTGCAGTGTTTGGGCACCTCACAAACGTCAATGACATTATCCTCTGAACATCCCATGAGATAGGGAAATATTCTTTATCTTTTACATTCCATTATGCCAGTGGGGAAGTGAGGCTCTGAGAGATTTCAGTGACTTTCCACCAGTCACACCAGAAGTCTAGCAGAACCAGGAATAGAAACCTGTCCTCTAGAATCCCCTTCCAGTGCCTTAACCACAAAAACATCCATCCTTACACACTTTATTCAAGGAGCCTAGGAAATTCTTCCTACAGCCTATGTGAGGAGACTACATGAATTCTAACACTGAGACTGACTCATTTCCTTTACACAATAGATGTAAATTCTGTGTGTACTCTGAGGCTCGAGCTGTGGTGGCTTTAGGCCTGTAAGTCATCATCACAGGACCTTTGTAGCCACATAGGACCTTGCACAGCCAGCAGCCCAAAAGCATACACCCAGACTGCCACATAGAATGTCGTCCATGTTTCCCCACCCACAGTCTCATCCAAGGCTGATGCACACAGGTTGTGAAACAAAGTGAATGCTATAACGGCCCCTTCTTACTCCCAAGCCACACTTTGGCCCCATAACATTAAACCAGGGCTAATGGCATTCTAATGGCTAATCACAGCTAAT